AAACATCGTTCTTCTTGCAATGTTTTATGGCCTATCGACAGGGTATGTATGGGTAAAATATCAACATTTTGTCCCGCAAATTGGAACAAGTTAAAAAAATCGTATCACTATGAAATTATGCAGACAAGCAGGGGACAACATATATTTTACGACGCAAAGTCTGCAAATTTCATGAAGGGTTCGAGGGATACATGCGGCCAGAGCAAAATGTACGTTTTGAACGATTTTCTCAAGTTTTACTATACTTTATTATACGCCGATGTACTATGAAGTGAACTTGAATAATGGAACAACTTATAGGTAAGATTCCGATGCGAAACTTTTCTGTTTTGCGGTCCAGGTATAGTTTATATTATTGCGAAGTCTGCAAATGACATAGCTATTATCAAACAAGTTTAAATTTAAAAAAACCGCACCACTCCTAATGATTTATATATAACAAATCCGCCATTTTGTTTGTCAAAGTTCGCACATGCTCAGAATCAATGTCCGTAATTTCTGGCCATGGTTATTCTTAATCCCAATTCTGCAAAAACCTCGCAGAACCGCTTGCGGATTCTGTCTCCTGTTCTAGGGCGCGCGTTACGGATGGCGGCCAATCCGTCGTCTCGATATAGGCCAATGTCTATGTTGTTACTGCATTTTTCGTTGAGCTTGCTAAGTGCGAAAAGCCCGACCAACTCGCAGATTTCGGCGCCATCGAAACTGCCCATTGACACATCAAATAGGCTGCGGTTGGATTTCTTAGCCCAAGGCTCATTCTTATCAAACAATAGGGATTTCCTTGAGTGCATAATTATTTCTATTTCATCGGTTGTGCGTTGTACTTTCACGCTGGAAGTACAACGCTCTCGAAGTTCATCTGGGAATTAAAGGAATCCGACACAGCTTACGCAATCGAGTGGAAAATCCTTAAGCGTGCAAATGCTTATAGGAGTGGAGGAAAGATATGCAACTTGTGCCTATCCGAGAAAATCTGCATTTTAAATGCAGATAAACAATCACTACTGAACAAAAGATCAGAATTAATAGCTAAGTGTTGTCACGAAAGGAAATTTTACTCTTATAACTACAATCCACCGTAAAAGCACTTTAGTCTGATGATCGCCTTTGTGCGTGAAACTCGAGTAACTTTTATCGTAAATAGGTTTAGGTTTTATTAAATTATCTTCAGATATCATGTCTTAGTCTACACCAATAATATATATATATATATATATATATATATATTATCAGTTCTACCATCCTTCATTGGTCCAGTGTTATACATATAGAACAGGGGGAAACCTATAACTAAACCTGCAAAGTTTAATATAAACCATGCAAGACTGGCTTGCTTTATAACATTCTGTATACGCAAATTGGTCAAAGGAATGTTGACAATATTATATCGTTAGAGTTTGCATGGTTTGAATTATTTAAAACAAACTTTGAAACATGAAACGAATATTGTTATGATTCGCTTCGGTCGCTTGTACTATCAATCTATCATAGATTTATTTCATTCATATATCAAATGAAATTACTGAAATATCTCGAGAATTAAGAGATAAGCTAGAAAAGTTCTACACTAACTGATTTTACAGTTCAGTTTACATGTTCTTTCTGCCTAGTACATTATACAGACGGACGTTACAGTAAACTCTCATGTTTTTTGGCCATGCGCATGGGCAAATATCACCGGAAAACAGGATTCCGTAGACATTCACTGAGGCCATTGCGGCGACGCTAAATACTCTCAAAGTACCGAACTTTCGCAGTATTTCTAGTTCCCGTAATTTGGAGATATGGATTTTTTTCAATAATGTATATGTTGCTTTTAAAGCTATTTCGTTATCTTGGCATTGCATTTAATAAAGGAAAGATTCTTGCAAAGCCAAAGATCCTTGACCTTGCATGGTAATAATTATAATTGTTTTGTGGACACTCATACCGTTGTATGTTGAAAAGATTGGTTTTGAGGCTATCCGGGGTTTATTCAGCTGGCTGTGTCACAGACTTTCAAACAAAAAACGCAGAGCGATACGTAGCTGCAGGGCAGTACTAGTAGTTTGGTTTGAATATTAATTGTTCTATCATGCAGTGTGCAGTTACCGGAAGACTGCAGAAGTAAAGCTGTAAAATAAGTTACTGTGGGATTATTATCGGAGATATTTCAGTAATTTAATTTGATATGTAAACGAAATAAATCTAGTTACAAGCGACTGAAGCGAATAAACTATTTTCAAAGGCGGCAGTGTTTTGTCAAGGACAAAGTCAAAGGTTCAAAAATGATGAAATAATTCAAATTATGCAAACTGTGTTGTTGATTCTTATTTATGATAATGAGTACAGTGAAGGTACAGGTAAATGTTTAACATTGAAGACTTTAGTTCCTATTCAGGTAAAATTCTTTTACATCCCAACTGCAGATGCTTCCTGGACCTTAACACAGTTGTTTTTGGTATATCATGAATGCATTTAATTAATTATGAACATTAAGGCCTTAATCTATATATCTATTACTAGTATTAGTATATATTAGTATTAGTATTACGATATGAAGATTACAAAGTGAAAGTTTGTCAAGTTTATAGAAGATAGCCAATGATGTTCAAGATGCATAACATCAGGACAAGAGTTACATTGAAGTGTGTGCCTGGGTTAGCTGCGGAGGTCTTCACAAAGGTGAATGTTCCAAAACTCAGGATGGGTTTGTCGCCTTTGAGCGAACCTTCAGTGTCATTTGTAATGAGGTGAATATTTACAGGCGGATTGGTGGCCACATCATCACTCTCAAAATTGGGGCCACTGTCAGTGCCTGCATCATACGGAAACAAATCTCTCACTTCCCGGTCTTGCCATTCTCCCGTAGCTGTGTTGCATAAATTTAAATCATGCACACCAAGAAACCAATCTGGTGAGGGGGCTATCATGGTGATGAAGGACACAAGAGGATATTGCGAGTTGATTTCGATATTAGAGATAGAATCGCTGGCTGTGCCACCAAAGATTAGCCGACCACTGTATCTTTTATAGGCGTTCTTCGATGCTATTTGACTGTCCATTTCTGTGTTTATTGCACCTGTGCTACCTGAAAATCAATAAAGGTTTGATTTAGCCTAAAACGCGCTTCAAGTTTTTCTCTTTCTGATCCACTCAGTAGTCCAAATAACATTAGCAAGCCTGGCATGATAAAAATGGTATTGTTTTATATAAGAAGGGAGTCGACTGCCATTTACAAGTAAAATTAAATCGTTTGGTATTAGGCAGAGTATGTTCATATGTGATCGATGGAGAAAGCCTTGATACGCCTCGACGCCGGCAGGGACAACGGCTGTTATGAAGCAAGGTTTGCTTTAATTAAAGCCTCTTAAGTTTACGTCATGCATGTATCGACGAAGTCATTACTATTTGATATATCATATTGATCCCAAGGCTAAGAATTATCTTTATAAACTGATAAACAAACAGATACTTTTTTCCGATTAATTGGTGTACATGAGTCATGAGTGTTTATATGACTGATGAAAACAACATTAGGGCCATTTATACGAGACAAAATAAGACGCGACTTACATAAGACGCGACTTAAATAAGAACAGGCCTTTTAGCTGTTCTTATCTAAGTCGCGTCTTAAATAAGAAATTTTGGACAAAACGTTTAACTACACATGCCAGAAACTTGAAACAACTTAAAATTATTAGCCTTGCATATTAAAAAAATAACCAACCGAAACAACATTATAGCTATAGCAAGTAAATAAGAATAAAGCCCTAGAGAACCATTTATGCGATAACTCCGCTTATTTAAGTCGCGTCTTATGTAAGTCGCGTCTTATTTTGTCTCGTATAAATGGCCCTAATAAGTCAATAGTGAAAGACTTCAAGTAGATGTAACACGGACGTAAACGTCGTATATCGGAACGATATTACTTCAATTGGTAGAGCGTCAGGCTGATCTTTTGTCTTGAATATGTTGGTTCCCGCAATTGGGCCAACTTTATGTTTCATGTTGATAATGCAGTGGACGCAGTGACCAGTGTTGAGTTTTACCACTTGTAATTATAAAAGCTTTCAAAATATACGGAACAATTCCTACCGGTTTGTGCCACATTTTTAACTCCTGTGGTCGCTAGTATTCCTGATTTCCACATCACGTAAGAAGCATTGTGACTACAGCCTACGCCAGGCGAGAAATGAGGGTCTGAAGGAAAGTTCACCTGTCTCTCTTTTGTCCATTCTCCTCTGAATGTGAGAGTATATTTTGCCAAACCATTGCATGATTTGGCTTCTGTAGTATACACAAACAGAAAAGCTATAAACACAAGCTTTAACAGATAATTATACATGTTTTAAGTCTTTACGATGAAACCAAATGCTGCCTATGTTTTAGTTTAGTCTCGACTAGTTTAGTTTCTTTCCTTCAATTAAAGTATACGTCTGAATTTCCAAGAGTACATATGAAGCAAGCGATGCTGGAGGAGTATAATTACATTAAATTCCTAACTGGACACCTGTAGTGTTCAATGTAAATGTAGATATATAATTGGAATTATTTGACTGTTTTTGCATACAGGAACTAGATCATAGAACTAGATGCGCTTCTTCTACTGAAGTACACTTGCATAGTCAATAGTCATATCCAGTTGCTATATAGTTTCAAAGTTTGTAAAACCTAAATTCATGATAAATTCGTTATTGGTTGGTTTAATTTGTTACTTGGCAACCCAGATTCCAACGAACAAAACACACCACAGGCAGCCAATGCTGGGGGTGTTGTTTCGGTATAATAGAGCATTTATAGAAAAATGCGTGATATAATATATAGCCTTTGTGTTCTCTTTTATTCCTCTTTAAGTTTAGTTACTAGAATTTGCGCTTGATGCATCAAAAGTGTGTATAATGTGTAGGTTAGTGCTAATTAAATTCCTAACTGGACACCTGTAGTACATGTTCACTGTTCAAATTGACTATAAATATATGGCTATAAGTGGGTGGGAATTTATTTGACTGTTTTTGCATTCAAGAACCAGATTCGCTTTTCTACTGAAGTCGTAACCAATAGTTAATAATAGTTATAGTTGCAAAAGTTTCCGGATGTCTTTCAGCTCCCACCATACGTATGGACTGCCAAACCGTGGGCTGCAGGGTCGTAGCTATAGGGGGGTGACACCCCCCTGGAAATGTCTTTTCGGCAAAATAACAGTTTTGTCGGTGAATCGTTTCCGTAAGCCGCGAAAATATTAGAGTGGTTCGGATGAAACCGAGTATTACCGTTATCAAAAATTTAGCTAAATTCACTAAAATTGCGCAAAAAATTAACAAATTTTGGTATGTCCGGAAAACTTTTTGTATGTCCGGAAAAAAAATTTTATGTCCAGAAAAAAATGTTGCGATCCCCCCCCCGCTCGCCAACAATTTGGGGGAACCCCCCCCCCGCCCGCCAACAATTTGGGGGAAAAAATGTTAATTAGCGACGGAAATGTTGTCGGCAAATCTGATACTACACCCCCCCTTCTTTAAACTCTTCGCTACGGTCCTGGTGGGCTGTGGGCAAATTCAATAGAATCATTCATGTACAACCCAGTGTGAGCTCTCTATACATATATATCTGGAGCAAGAACTTCTGTCATTCGGCCTGTGAGAAAATTGAAGTCGGCAAGATGGCGGATTTGACGTCCAGTAGCGACGAAGGTGGTAAACAGTTTTTATACTATTTCTCCCAAGCTAATTGCAGTTTTTTCTAACAGACCGTATCGCTAATCAAGTTTTCAGTTCATAAAATCATAATATTAGTCTTTTTTATTATTACAAAGCTTTCTATTGTTTTTGTCTGCGCGGCGGACACGACGTTGCCAGGACCGGAGTTGTGCACCGTGACTTGTTTCAATACATCAAAATAACCCTGCGCCTCACATCTCTTCATGGCAAAGCGGGATCATTATCATTTATAGACCCGGAGCGAGGTACCCTGGATTCCAGAGCCTTCGACAGTAAATAATAAATTGAAATGTCGCGAAGGCTCTGGTTCAACGGGGCGATTCTTTGATTAAACCGGGCCAATCACAAAACAGAATTAGTGGTTTTGTTTTGTGATTGGCGCGGTTTAATCAAAGAATCGCCCCGTTGAACCAGAGCCTTCGCGACATTTCAAATTAGTTATTTACTGTCGAAGGCTCTGGAATCCAGGGTAGGAGCGAGGGGGATTCGGCGTAATATTTCCCGAAGTGATGATATTTTCAGAGGGGCTTTGAGGAAATATCGCCGAATCCCCCGAGCGGAGGGTCTATAAATGACATATTATACCGAAAGTTATAAAAGAACTCACTAAGAGTCTATTAAGTTCAGAATAAACTTTAAAACTTGCTGAATATTATTAAACTACGCGAATACAATTTTTAATTTCTTATGTATACCTGAGTTTTTGACGTTTCCTCTTTAAATATTTAAGCATGTATCCTTTGGATCATTAAAGGTAAAATGCGTCTTGAAAATGTTTTGTTAAATCAAATATTCTGTACGAAAATACGAAATTACAAACAACGGCTCGCGAACGCCATATTGTTTCAGAGCGTGGTGTCCACGCGTCACGCGTGGGATACTATAATATCCCAGGTATAATATCCCAGGTATAATATTATATAAAACACCCCCTTATTCAGCGAATTGCGCATGCTGCCTTTGATCCCTTGGTGGCGAGGCAGTACTTACCTTGCGATAGTAACTGCTAGAATTAGTCTTGCCAGGAGTGTGGCGAAATTTCGTATTTTCAACTTCGATCAAAATCGAACGTCGTGTGCGCCGCACGGACAAAAACAATACTAGAAAGCTTTGCAGTAAAAAAGGCTAATATTATAATTTTACGTGGTGTTTCCACAAACAAAAGTATTATATATTTTATCGCCATGCAAACCATAGATGCAAACCTACAAAGAACTTAGAAAGTAACTGGGTAATTGACGTCCAATCAATTTCCAGCAAATATTAATTTATACCTAGAAGTTACTATCGCAAGGAAAGTGCTGCCTCACCCCCAAGGGATGGGAGTATGCGCATTTTGCTGAATAAGGGCCTGTTTATAAGATCTCGCTTTGCCAGGACGAGAAACGAGGCGGGAGGATTTCGATGTATTGAAATGAGTCACAGTGCACAATTCAGAAAAAAACATTTTCTAGAGATAGATTATAGTGAACGAGAGGTTGTTCAAGCAGCAATAACAAATAATCTTCTATTCTTCTTGAACTACAAGATCTTCTCTATAATATTTGAGTTCTGTTAACAAGCATTTGAACTTTTGTTTAGTCTAGTGACTATAACAATATGAAGATTATATTTCGCAACTACAACTAAAATCAAAATGTGTACTGAGCTTGAACTGTGACGGCAACTGGATATGCACGTGATCTTACTGTAATCAGCGCAGAATTTCATCAACTTTGAACTTAAATATATTTCTCTTAAAATACTGATTCATTTTTCAATTTGAGATGTTATATCGAATCCGACTATTCAGACGTTACCAGATATCCAGTTCTTGCAATTGTATATATAAACTTAGTCACATAAATGACAGGTTAACTCTACAGAGCTTATTGCTCCATTTACAGGGGCCCTAAAAGTTAGTAGAAATTAGTAAAAATTAGTTCAGTCCTTGGTTTTGCTTTGAACGAAACAATTTATATTGGTTACCCAGTATTCCAGTTGTCCTCAGTCGGATTTGATACGTTACTTCGAACTCAGTCAAGGGTGTCATTGAAAGTTTGTCAAGTTTATAGAAGATAGCCAATGATGTTCAAGATGCATAATATCAGGATAAGAGTTATGTTAAAGTTTGTGCCTGGGTTAGTTTTGCCTGTCGGTGGTGTAGCTGGTGGAGCTGCGCCTGTCGCCGGTAGTGTAGCTGTGCCTGTTGGTGGTGTAGCTGTGCCTGTTGGTGGTGTAGCTGTGCCTGTCGGGGTTGTCGGACGTGAAGTTGTGCCTGTCGGCGGTGCTGGCGTCCCCTCATTCACAAAGGTGAATGTTCCAAAACTCTTGACGGGTTTGTCGCCTTTGAGCGAACCTTCAGTGTCATTTGTGATGAGGTGAATATTTACAGGCGGATTGGTGGCCACATTACCACTCTCAAAATTGGGGCCACTGTCAGTGCCTGCATCATATGGAAACAAATCTTTCACTTCCCGGTCTTGCCATTCGCCTGTAACTGTGTTGCATAAATTTAAATCATGCACACCAAGAAACCAATCTGGTGAGGGGGCTATCATAGTGATGAAGGACACAAGAGGATATTGCGAGTTGATTTCGATATTAGAGATAGAATCGCTGGCTGTGCCACCAAAGATTAGCCGACCACTGTATCTTTTATAGGCGTTCTTCGATGCTATTTGACTGTCCATTTCTGTGTTTATTGCAACTGTGCTACCTGAAATTCAAATAAAGTTTGGGTTAGCCTAAAAATAGCATATGCGCGCATATATTGGGCTTATATTGAAAGGCAAACGCAATACGCATTTCTGGCACCTGTCTATATAGTCTATATAATTATACCGAATAGAATCACTAAATCCCAGCAAGTCAATGGTGTACATGACGTGTTTTATAAAATTTTCTTTATGACTAATTGAGTTTAATTGCATGAAAATTTTAAAAAGATAAAAAAGGGAAGCTTTTTATTGGCGATATGGATAGGAAACTATACTTGACTACAACACGGAAGTAAAAAAAAACTTTCAACACCTAACGCCGTGTCACAGGCTGTGTTGTCAAGCTAGTACAGCTAGCTAAAAGCTTTCAAAATACACGGAACAATTCCTACCGAATTCTGCCACATTTTTAACTCCTGTGGTCGCTAGTATTCCTGATTTCCACATCACGTAAGAAGCATTGTGACTACAGCCTACGCCAGGCGAGAAATGAGGGTTTGAAGGAAAGTTCGCATGCCTCGCGTCTGTCCATTCTCCTCTGAATGTGAGAGTATATTTTGCCGAACCATTGCATGACTTGGCTTCTGCAGTATACACAAACAGTAAAGCTATAAACACAAGCTTTACCTGAGAATTATATGACATGTTTCAAGTCTTGACGATGAAACCTTATGCCGAGTTTGGTTTCATCGGTCCCGTGACCAAATAAATTATTGACACTGGACACCTGAAGTGGGAATTTATTTGACTGTTTTTGCATACAGGAAGCGGATTCACTTTTCTACTGAAGCCGGTACCTTCATTGTTTCACATAGAGTCATAACTACTTGCTATAGTTGCAAAGTCTTATTACCGGAATCACGTTGCACGTATCCGTATAGTAAACTCGCTATCACTTGTTCCTTTCGTTATTTCGAAACCAAATTTAAATGAAATAAAGGTTATAATTTTATAGTTGATGTCGCAGAGTGACTTACTACTAAATACTAGTATTAAATATATTTATAATTGCAAGTTTGCCTTGACGAGCTTTCCTTGACAAAATTGACCTTGTTCAAAAGCTGGTCATGCGGCTCATACCAGCTCTTCGGTAATGAAAATTGTTTGTGTGTGCGCCTGTACGACCGTCAAGGAAAACCTGACAAGTATTTGCCCAGGGCCCACTTATTGTGTATTTTGAAAATTCGCTTTTTGTAGGGTGTCAAGTTGTCAGATGTCAGCTGTTTTTAATTTTGAACGAAAATTATGAAATTTTTTCTGTGCTGGTGTTGTGTACTCAGGTGAATAATATGTTTGTGATGTTACTCTGAGTGCATATCCACACCGGGCGAGCTTGAAAAATATGCCCGGCCACGGTGGGATTCGAACCTACGACCTTTACTCGAACCGTCCTGACTGCGTAGCTCAGTTGGAGCATTGGGCTAGTATTCCAAAGGTCGTAGGTTCGAATCCCACCGTGGCCGGGCATATTTTTCAAGCTCGCCCGGTGTGGATATGCACTCAGAGTAACATCACAAACATATGATGAAATTGTTTACGAACGCGCGGGCTCGTAAAACTTGTGATGAAAAATTGATAGTAAACTCGTAAAGAAACTAATTGTTAACGAAAACTCTCTTGTCTGTACGGGGCTTTGATACCCCTAACACCAGTCAGAATATACATTATCATAATATCATACACAAAATAGCCATGCGATATATATATATATATATATATATATATATATATATATATATATATATATATATATATATATATATATATATATATATATATATATATATATATATATATAGTATATATATATATATATATATATATATATATATATATATATATATATATATATATATATATATATATATATATATATATATATATATATATATATATATATA